ATTAGAAGCACTATTTAGGGATTTGCCGGTGAGTTTTCTAGACTCATTAGCTTGAATTTCGTTGTGACGATGATACCTTGCTCCGATGATGTTCGTCACATGACGGAAGTAAGCTTAGCACCTTTTTACCGGAATCGAAGGAGATTGCCTCGGAAGCAACGTCAGCATGAAAGCTCCACAAAAGCCAATCGACGGCTGATCAAGAGTAATCCGCCGTCGTCTTCTGGTCGAATCAAACCTCAAATCTTTTCACCAAACACTTTCACTCGAAATGGAAGTAAGCACAACAATTATGAAACAAGATATTCCTTGAAATCCTTTTCTTATTTGGCGCAATTACTTTGTCACCATTTCTCCCAGCGAAACATGACATTCGTCTCCTTTTTAATCTCAAACTAATGAGAATTTGCTCAGTATTGGAAAAAGCAAATCGGCCCAAGGAATTTTTGGGTGCAATTTTGTGGTAAATCTTTGATGAGTGTCTTCGAGATTGCTGATAAGAAGTATTGTTGGGGGGACTTTCATTTCGTATGAAAGTGCATGAAGAAGAGATTCGTTGGCTGGTCTCACCGGATGAGGGCGGATGAATCTCGTTGTACTGCAGCCATTTGGCTTTTATACAATGTTCATGTTGGTGCAGTCTCCGAGACTTTCTCCTTCGTTAATGGTGAGCTTTCGTCCATCATTTGATGTACATCATCAGAGCTGGGTGCCCTAGTGTTAACGTAAGACTGTTACTAGAATGTCCATGCAATGATGAACGAAAACTCAGCCCGTTTTCACCAGAAACGAGGGAGAAAGTCTCGTGGATTGCGTCAAACTGAACATCGTATAATAACCGAACAGCTGCAAAAAAACGAGATTCATTCGTCCTCATCTGGTAAGATCGACCAACGAATCTCTTCTACATGCACTTTCATACAAAATGAAAATCCGCCGAACAATGTTATCTCAGCAGATTCAATGATAAGAAGTAGCCACCTCAATGTATCGCTTTGGCAGCATTATGTCGTTTATTTCCTGATTTTTCATACCACTCTGACCTTGTCTAGTTTAAAGGAAATTTCCGTGTTGTGGTGAGTGATGTTGAGGGTTAGAAGGCTCAACATGAATGGTATGAGCCTTGCAATGGGCACACGGATGTTATGAAGCCTGTGGTCTTCAAGTCATTAAATCCTTGTATATGTGGAATATATGACTGGGTTTCATTGCCTCTTCTAAGATAACATTGTCGTGATGACTTTCACTTCGTGCATAACATTTAACACATGGAGGCGCGATCACACGCAAAAACTTAGATAAACATGAAAAACACTAAAGAACCCATTATATTTGTTTTCAATTCTTTCCAAGCTATGCGTGCTGATAGCATGTATGTTAAAACTGTATAATCTTTTTTAGTTAGTTGCTAGAATGTGATCCAAGTCTGGTGATGTGTGACAAAAGCTCAGAGCAGTTTCACCTGAATCACATAAGGACATTTTACAGATTGCTTTAGTCTGGACATCAAAGTAAATGCGAATTAAAGTTGAGTTTCGAGGATTCTCATGCTTCATAATTGTTGAGCTTTCTTCCATTTTATGTGAAAGTGTTTGGTGAAGTGATTCGAAGTTTGATCCCACCAAAAGACGAAAACAGATTTCTTATAATCAGTTGTCAATTGGCTTTACTAGAATATTCTTGTTGGCCATGTTTCTGAGGTAATCTTTGATTCCGGTGAATACGTCCTAAGCTTTCGTCCATCGAATGACGGACATCATCAGAACATGTTATCATTCTTATAATCATATTCAAGCTAATAAATAAAGAAAACAATCGTTAATTGAAGATATGAAGACCAAGATGTTGTGACTTCTGTTATGGTCGCAGTCTCCTTTCGATTTATAGAAGTGGGTTAACCTCGTTGTCGCAACTC